AAGAACGAACTTGTACTACTTGAGCCGGGCTGTTTTAACTAACTAGGGATCACGGTGAAGCTTGGCTTGGTTAAGCATTCTGCAGGTTCTTCATGGACCAGTGCCTAAGCCTACTGTAAACTCTCCTAATAGATAGTAGCGGTGTCTCCGTTCACACTTGACAAATTTACAGGTTTTACCAAGATGAGACGTGCAATTCAATAGTAACTAGCAAAAGAAACTAACGCAAGCGCAATCCCCCCTCCCATTCCGAACAGCACCGGAAACACTACACAGTTTATGCGAGACGCCGCAACGTGGAGCTAACGACCCACACCGCCTTCTTTTGAATGTGCTCTTTATTTGTGCTAAACTTCACAAATTAATGTCTCATCGCTCACCCTCCTTGTAGGTATTTGGCGAAGAATGACGGGAACGCTTTATCCACAAACGCTATCGTCTGAACGTATGTGCGAGTGTCGTTACCATAGGTGATATTTGATGCGTTGAAGTAGACGTTTGTGTATTGAGGTGGATGTTCCGTTTGTGCTACCCACACATCCTGAAAAGAACCATTCACCTAAGTGAGTTTTTTCTGAAATTGAATTAAATAGAAGGTTATAATAATTCTAGTCTGATTTTTGTTTTTTTTTTCAGAAATACAGAACGGTAACACCACTTACCCCAGCTGGTGCCTGGACCAGCGACAGTTTGACGGTATCGAACCAGTCACGATCTGATGCGTTCTGTGGACGTTGGTAGTTGTCCTGATTGTACTGAATCGCAGACACAAGAGGCGTTGGAATGGTGACGGCTCCTTCGTTCGGTACCAGCAGATAGCTTGGGAATGCTTGCGGTAACGATATCTGAACATTCTTTATGGTCTCCTCGTCAACTCTTGAAAAGGTTTGTCTTTTTTGACAACTGTTTAATTGTAAGCATAATTTCTAGACAACAGCCATATTTGTAGGCCTGAAAGTGATTCAGGGACATGCAGTTGTGAAATTGAGTTGAAATTCGTTCTGGTCAAAGAGGATTGGTAGGTGGAAGACGTTATTATAAATGGCCTGACGTTTCGACAGGATCGTCGTCCTCAGAGGCCAGTCCACCACCACATGAGCGGAACGACGCCACTCGCTGTTAGTTGTTAGTTGTCTTACTAACTAACAGGCCATTTATAATAAAGTCTTCCACCTACCAACCTCTTTGGCAGAACAATTTCAACTTAAAGTTCACAATAATGCCGAGGTTTTATGAAGAGAGAAGCTGGACTCTATTAAACATGCAGTTGTGTTCCACTCTACTTAGAGCACCAGGGGAGAAGGTCAAGACATTCGTGACTTGCTGCGCCATCGCAAGCAGTTCATCGTGCGGCAGTGGCCTTGGCAGTTCGATTGAAATGTTCGACAATGACAAGAAAGCTAATATCCCTAACTTATACTTTATCAGCTGGACACAATCTTCCTAGCAAACATAGGATTGTTTCGAGTAGATAAAGGCAAGTGGCACTTTAAATCGGCAAGGCTCGATACGTCTAGCACGGAAGGATACTGAGACCCTTGGCACGCGCTGCGCGGCGCTTTTTCCAACGGAGAGCGCCTTTATAATGCCTACCAATGTGCAACATGCCGACCCAGAACGCTCACTGCAACTGCCCGCCCATAAATGGATACGCAGTCACATCGATTTCTTACCGCTTCTTTGACCAAGTACATCGATACGAAGCGTTGCTACATGGATATATGAATACATATGTGCAGCCGTATCTATCAAAGCGGTTGTGGCTTGATGCCGACGGGAAACTCGTCCGAAAACGCTCGTCCACTGCCGTGCGGAACAAGGTAAGAATATGGATTTTTAGCCGTTTGACTCTGCTTTTTCGCCATTATCCCACTATATAGCACCCCTACTACTATTTCTGTGGAAGAACCGAATTTTCGTGCCGTATGTCTTTGACTATCTTTGCATGAATTTCAGGCGTATGTTTGACCTAGCCGTGTTATCATGTTGATGTTTCGCTGTCGCGTAATGGCAAGTGGCGTAGATGATTACGTGAAAATGCAGTAGTAGAACAACACCAAGCCACTGAACTTAATCTCAAATGATACGTAGAGAAGGGACCCTGCCCCTCCTATTAATGTGCCACTAAGCACTCTACTGGCGGGATTCACTTAGGCTCGCAAATGGGAAGTTCAAAAGAAAACACTTCTGTATCAGTTTTTCAAGTCAATCTCGTGTATCCCCCCTCCGAGTAGGAGCTCCGCCTTTACAGTAGTCTTGCCTTAGATGGAGCTCGTTCAACACAGACATCCAGATTCTTCTGGCACTACCTAAGAATAGACAGACTTCCAACACTACCAAGTATGGACAGGTAGAGAATTTGATATCTTCTATCAGAAAAATTATAATTCTCTTTATCAGAGTGAATAAAGCATACCGTCTGTCCACCCTGGCTTTCCAGGATTGTAACCCATTCTTTGCGTTGTTTGTCATCTCCTTTGAATTCGATAGACCATTGGGTGGCATGTTTCTGCACTTCCTTCTTCTTTTCATCATATGGTCGAGAGAATTCCACTGCTACGATGAAGTTTATCGATGAATTGCCTTTCAGCTGTTGACTAAAAAGCGTTTATCATTGAAAAAACATCCATACAACGGGGTCGCTAAATCTTTACTCTGTACGCTACTCACATCAGTGCAACACGTGACGCCTCGGATATTCCCCATGCTACTTCAGACTCCGGACGGAAGTTAACTACCTGAAAAAAATGAAC